AAAATGTTGCTGATATTATGATAAACGTTTTGTCAGTTTATTACTTTCTGATATCGTTCACAGAAAATGAGATATATGGGCTCAAAATTGACGGATTAGGTGGCGTTCTATTAGTGTTTACGGTAAAAGTTGTTAAAGGAGGGTAGACATCAAAAATTTCAAAATTTTTATTTTTACTCAAAAGATATAACTCTGAAGTATAAATATAGCTATGTACTTAAAAACCTGAAAAAAACACTTCAAGGACGAAAAAATGCTTTTTCTTTTTTGTCACCCCAATTTCTTCACTAGCTTGCTGTTGCGGCGTCGCTTCATAATGTGAAAAACGCGATGGTCGCCTCTTACACGCGTAGTGTAGTGGGTACGCTCAACGCTTAATGTCACTCTGCGTACAGCTGTCGTCCTCACCCTTATGTTTACCATCGGGCGCGCGTCCTCTTTTCGCCCGCGTGGCGCAGTCGGTAGCGGCCCTGTATCCCTGATCAGCTTGCCATGAGTTCAAATCCTCGAGGCACATTTGAACGGAATTTCGAGAACATTTTTTTTTTCATGTCCCCCCCCCCCTTTAGCGGAAATCAGAATTATCGAATTTCAATCCGAACATTTCTCTGCTCATGGTTTTTGGGCATTTTGCTCAATTTTCGATATTTCACTTCTTTTCGTCGATAAGGGTGTCGAAATCAGCAAAGAAGTTAAAATTTCGAAGATTCTGTATTCCATTAGCCCAAACCCACCTATTAGAATGCTATTGGGGTTTCCAACCGAACAGAGCTCTGGCCCACATCTTCAAAATGTCTCAACAGTGGTTCGAGACTCATTTGCAAGCCTCAACTAGCATAGAAGAATGGCCTGATTTCTCGACGGATTTAAGTTCGCTCCACTTCTCCGTGTTGGGATTCTGCGAAGCAAGAGTAACGCTAAATTTAATCCAAATTTGAAGCCCTGAAAAAATTCCTTGGTGGCGGTATGGATCCCTTTGACCTGCGTGCCACAGTGGATGCCCATCCGAGAGGTTTTCACGCTGTCATCGATCGGAAGAGGGACCGGGTGGAGTAACTCTAGATGATAATTACTTGTTATCACATCGATATAACCCCTGTAAAGTTTCATACTTCTCTGATTTTCAGTTTTCGAGTTACGCCATCTCAAACTATTGCGGGTAATTAACAGCCACCCTGTACTATTTTGCTTTTTTACTCAAAATTATAGGCTTAGGCTCAAACGCCCTACACCCCACGATCTTATTTACTTTCTCAACTAATAAGAACTCAATGTACCCTTGAACCCTGGGCCAAATTTTAGAAATTTAAAGGGGGCCAGACAGCAAAAATTTCGGGGGAAATTTCAGGGGGCGTGCATTCTGACGTCGCGGTGTTCGCACCTAAAGCACGCAATCCCACACGCAAACAATTTTATTTTTTTATTTCCCGACTTTATTTTTTTTCAATTTTTAACGACTTCAAACATTAAAAAAGCTCTTTTTTCTTATTTATTATAAAACCCATATAAAAGTAAATTTTTTATGTAAATTTAAAGTTCTATCGACCGATTATTTTGCCAGTCGCCCGTGTTTTTATAGGCATGCGAAAAAAACTATTTTCTCTTCGATAACCGTTTCTTCACTGTTCCTATTTATCTCATTACTTCTCGTTATTACTCTAGGAATAAAAAACTGTTTTATGACTGGGGTTTTCAGAGACGTCTTCATTTTTACTGCTTCCTTCACCTTCCGACGACCATCCCTGCACGAGTATTGTTTTAATTATGTGGTTTTTTTTTCAATTGTTATGTCTCTTTCTAAAAATTAATTGTAGTTTTTTTCATAATTTATTTGTTAACATAATAAAACACGTTTCTTCATTTTCAACTGATTTTGATACCTCGGCGGCACGCTGGTAGCCCTTCAAAAATTCCGAGTTCAAAAAGTTCAATCCGAAGGAAACAAGGGAAGAAAAAAGTAAAAACACCAGCAGGGATTGAACCTCTGACCTCCTGAATACTAGCCAAGAGCGTACCCACTACACTACGCGTGTAAGAGGCGACCATCGCGTTTTTCACATTATGAAGCGACGCCGCAACAGCAAGCTAGTGAAGAAATTGGGGTGACAAAAAAGAAAAAGCATTTTTTCGTCCTTGAAGTGTTTTTTTCAGGTTTTTAAGTACATAGCTATATTTATACTTCAGAGTTATATCTTTTGAGTAAAAATAAAAATTTTGAAATTTTTGATGTCTACCCTCCTTTAACAACTTTTACCGTAAACACTAATAGAACGCCACCTAATCCGTCAATTTTGAGCCCATATATCTCATTTTCTGTGAACGATATCAGAAAGTAATAAACTGACAAAACGTTTATCATAATATCAGCAACATTTTGTTATTTTACTACATTTTGATAGCATTCACAGAAAAGGAGATACATGAGCTCAAAGTTGGCGGTTTAGGTGGCGTTTTATTAGTAGCCGAAACTTGGGGACACTCAAACCCTTATTAAGACCTGACAAATCTAAAATAAGCCTCAACTTTTTTCCGTTATCAGCTACATGAAGGGGACTACAAACTAACGGTTTATCCGTGGGAACTACTACTCCTGCTTCTAATAACTTCGCAACTTCTTCATGAACAAAAACCTCGTACTTCTTTGACGTTTTCCTAATCCTTAAAGGTCGGGGAAGCTCAAAATTGTGAAATATAACCAAATCTAACTTAATCTCAATAACCTAATCTCAAAATCCTTCTTAAAGGTGGGGGGGACATGAAAAAAAATAATGTTCTCGAAATTCCGTTCAAAGATGCCCCTCGAGGAGTTGAACTTGTGAGGGCGATGATTGAGGGTGCGGCGCCGCTACCGACTGAGCCACGAGAGCAAAGAGAAAGCGCACGCTTGATTGCAGACATAAAGGCGAGGACGACAGCTGTACGCAGAGTGACATTAAGCGTTGTACACCGTGACGGTAGAATGCATACTCTAGCTACAAAAAAAACTACGAAAAATCTCCTGTCCCCCCACCTTTAATCACTTCTAGAATCCAGGGGCTAGCTAATGTTTGTTCCCGAAATTCAGCCTTACTAGCCATCCCCACTGGGTTAACCTTACCTTCTGTTTGGGCACTCGGGGGCGTAATGTCCGAATTCTTTGCAACTGAAGCATTGAACTCTTGCTCTTTTCTCAAAATTGCTTCCCACATTGACATCTTGCTGAGGTCTTCTGAGCTGGCCATTTTGGTACGGGTAGGCGGGCGAGAAACGTCGAATTTCAGAGTGCCTTCCTCCGAAATCCGCTCCTCGAAAGAACTGGCGAGGAGGAGCCTGTCTTCTCGACGAACTCGGAGCCTCTTTAGACAGCAGAGATGCCATAGCGAACAAACGTGATTCATCCGAAGCCGAAAAAGACGATCCTGATAATTCCGAAAGAGCCTTCCATCTCTCAACTTGCTTCAAAGCCTCCGGATTTTGGTCCAAGAGAACTAGCTGTTGATTTCGGTTCTTCAGAAGATCCAACGCTTTCTCGAGCACCTCATCCACATTCCCTGATCCTTGACCTTTCTTCAGCAGATTCATCAACTTTACATTGAATTCGGCCTGCATTTCGTATCCTTTCTGATTGATCACAGGAACCTTCACTTCTTTCTTTTTTCTCATTCTCGCCAGAGCGTTCTCATTCTCGCCAAAAAAACGACCAAAAGACGACGAAAAACACACGTTTCTTACGAAACAAGCACCACTTGCACGTAAAGACACGTAGAATGACAGACAGACAGGCGGCGCCCGTTCTTCTCCCCCGGTCGCGGTGAGACCTGTTGACCTCTAAAGTGTCTGCACCTTGAACCGAAATTTAGCATTACAAAAAAAATGAAATCAGGGGGAAATTCAAGATTTGAGATGAGAAACGAGATTTTTTAAATATTTTCTTGTCTCATCTGACCGCTGCCATCCGTATAGAGCTTAATAAAATTTATACAAAGTAAATAATAAGTTTAAAAATTGAGGAAAATGTTTTAAAACAAATTTTCTGCATCTCATAACCTTGATTTCGACTTTGAAACAAGTTTACATGTTTTCAAGCAGATCAACCATTAAATCATCTTATTTCCACTTTTTGAAATATTTCGATTTTTATTCACTTTTCGAGCTCTAACGCTTTCCACTACTCTACTAATCACTTTCAAAGCATAATGTTTGTGATTTCTTCCATTTTTATTGAAAAAAGAAAACTTTTTGAGAGAAATGACAAAAATTAGCCAAAAAGAGATGTGTGGAAACGAATAAATGCGGACTGCACAACTTTTTATCTACCGTAGTGCGCATAAAAACGCCGGCGGCCGCCGCCGTTCGCCGGCGAAACACCTAAAATTTGCCGCCGTTTTTCCGCCGCCGCGCCGCCGGCGTTCATTTTTCCCAGCCCTGTGTGAAACGATCAACCTGAGTTCGATCCTCGCTCGAGGCATCAGATTTTTGGAAGGGAGAAAAAAGTCCGAAAAGTCGGAAAAAAAACCCCTCATGCCCCATTCTGGGGAAAACCCCCATGCCCCATTCCGTAGATTTACGGGCGCGTATTTCAATGAGTATGTCAGCTTTCGACTAAAACTAAAATACTTTCTGATGCTCCAATTTTGTTCAAAATTTGTCTTTGTTAAGTTCAAAAGTAGTATTATCTATTGGAAACATAATTTTTATAGGTTGTCGCTGAAAAATTTTCACGATATTTACTGCCAGTTTGGCTGAAATGTACATTTTTCGGGCAACTTTTCTGAAAATTTCGTTATTATTTCCTTTTAGAAAAAGTCTTTAGCTACTGGAGACAACAAAAAATTGTGCGTTACCGACTTCCATCAAACTTTACTAGGCATTTTTCTGTCGGAAACTTTTGTTTTTCGTCTTTTTATTTTTTCTTGTAGATTTTCCAGTGAAAACAGTTACATATTCGGATTCTACGTAGTTGGCTCCGCCCCTTTTGCTGTGGTAAATATAAATTCACAAATCGATTCGAGAATTCTGGAATGTCTGGAAGTTGAGTAACCATGGGTACATCACGGTTTCTTTGATTCTTTGAATATATATTTGAATATATTTGAATATATTCAATTCCACTTCTTTTGTATATTTCAAGAAAATGTTAAGTTCATAGTTCAAGTTCAAGTTTATAGTATACAGCAATTGAATTTTCAGAAAATTGCAATGTAAATTGATGAATCATTGATTTTTTTCAAGCAGCACAACCGCTGCTGCTGCTCCTCTTCTGGTCCTCCTACCTTGCATGGTTTCAGGTGCAGTAGGAAAAGTGGAATCGTTTCTTCAACAACCTGAAATTTGTTACTATATATGTTTTCCACCCACTAATCCCCAATTCAATTTTTGAACATTCTATTGGAAAGCATCGATGGGCGCGCCAACGACCGCAACTTGCTTCGAAATGTAACTAAAATAATGAACATCATCCACTCACCGATTGATGATCATTGACAAGGTGTACCGCTTCCTCAGCTGATAAAATTGGTACATCCACGGATTCGAACAAGCCCCCATCGAGCTGCCCACAGCTTCGGAGCTTGTTTTCGGAGCACAGCTGAATAGAAATCCACTTGCACCTCTGAAACGGAATATGAATTGATGCATTTGCAGGGACAGCTGACTATTCAAAGTTCAATTTATATATACGACTTCTATGGAAGACAGTAATTCTATGAATCGACAAAAATACGACGGTTTTGAAGATTTTAAATTCAGAGAAAACTCTGCAGGTAAGATAATTTTTGCCTTTTTAGCTTAAAGGATAAAGTAAAAACGATGCAAGGGATCACCGAAAAAAACAAGAAAAAAAGAGATGATAAATTTCTCTGATAGTGAGCTCAATTTAAACAAGTCCAGAAGGCCTTACTTCCGGAAACTGCGTCTTACCGTA